TTTATAACAAGTAAGTTTAGGTACATATTTACCTGTGCGGCCTCCAGCATATCCAACACATCCCTGACAAGGGGGAGATTATGATGAGCATCAATGGCTCGGTAGTTTCCACGCCGGAGAACCCACCTCCTAGCTAGAAGGAGTAACAGAGGTGCTACATCCGGAGGTAATGGTGGTAGAGGTGGCTGCAATGACAGGAACCACTCCCAAGCCCAAACCTAACATACAAGGTCGACGGAAAATTTAAGAGTCATTTTAACTATATAGAATTAGAAGTAATGAACAGAGTATTCGAATATGTTGTCACCTGTAGAAGCAGCAGAAAACCACATATGTCGCTCTGGATGCCCATGCTAGCCCGTCACATACTCCTGTACAGGTAAGCGAGAACACCAGCACCCCAGCTATACTGGGGTAACTCATCTAGCTGCTGAAGATGATGTAGAAATCGCATACTCACTAGATTTTTCGAAGTGTTCGGGAACAAGACACCCCCAAAAAGAAGGAGCAGCGCCAACCTCATGTACCGGTGAATATGTAGATCCTCTATCTCGCCGGTGATGTTGGGGTGCAATACCTCCAAATGCAGTCTAATAGCTGCCACAGAAATGTGACTGCCCTCTGAAGCTACAGCCTCACCCTGTGGCCTGAAACTAGTGAACTGCTGCAGCAAGTCCAAATACTGGGCACGAGTCATAGATCTCATATACTGAGGCAGTGAACGACCAGTCCATCAGCAGGCAGCCCATATAAAATCTGAACATCCTGAAGCGTGATGGTGGCCTCGCTAATGGGCAGGTGGAAAGTGTGCTTCTCCGGTCGTCACCGCTCTATCAACGCTGTGATCAGAGACCAGTCGAGCTGCAGCCGCCCAATCTCAAAAATCCTATAGAAACCTGTATCACGCAGGCGCTGGACTACGTGGGAATGGAAACCTCTCTCCCTGATAAAGTCCCACACGTCGTCCACTCTCCTAGCGCATAGAGTCTGCTCCATTAGCTCTCTCTCCCATACGTAGGCGGACCTATGATTGCCCTGTAACACTAATATCTCATCCGAGATAGGTCCAGGATGCACAGGTGGCACGTCCATATCGTCTACTGTAAATTAAACAATATTAATTGTGTGTTAGTTTTATTAATTAATATTTAATTATTTAATTGGACAGAGTATATACCTATGGGTTCCGGGCTCGATATTTGAGGCCCAGTAGCACCAAGCTATCCTGAATTCTTACGTGTGTCAATTTCAATATCTTTAGAATTTTGTTTATGTTATAATAATTAATATTTAATTATTTAATTGGACAGAGTATATAACTATGGGTTTCAGGCTCGATATTTGAGGCCCAGTAGCACCAAACTATCCTGAATTATTATGTGTATCAATTTAAATATTTTTACAATTTTGTTTGTGTTATAATAATTAATATTTAATTATTTAATTGGACAAAGTATATATCTATGGGTTTCAGGCTCGATATTTGAGGCCCAGTAGCACCAAGCTATCCTGAATTTTTATGTGTGTCAATTTCAATATTTTTAGAATTTTGTTTGTGTTATAATAATTAATATTTAATTATTTAATTGGACAGAGTGTATATCTATGGGTTCCAAGCTCGATATTTGAGGCCCACTAGCACCAAGCTATCCTGAATTCTTATGTGTGTCAATTTCAATTTTTTTACAATTTTGTTTGTGTTATAATAATTAATATTTAATTATTTAATTGGACATAGTATATATCTATGGGTTCCAGACTAGATATTTGAGGCTCAATAGCACCAAGATATCATGAATTCTTATGTTTGTCAATTTCAATATTTTTACAATTTTGTTAGTTTTATAAATTAAATAATTAATTTTTAATTGGACAGAGTATATAACTATGAGTTCCACGCTCGATATTTAATTTGACAGCATATATTAATTTGTTAGTTATGTGTGTTTGTATTATAAAGTAAACAATTAATTTTTGTAAAGTGTAATTGGATAGAGTTTGTAGTTAGTAGATACTTAAACTACAGAGATTCTACGCTAAAAGACTCTATATTTTACTACGCTAAAAGGCTCTATATTTTACTACGCTAAAAGGACACTATTCTTTAAGCAAATAAATAATCTAAACTAAATAAAAACAACAAACATATTTTAATAACATAACATTCACGAAATTACATATAAAACAGTAAAAGAAATTTATGAACATTTTTATTAACAAGAAAAATTATTTCTCAACTTTTAACTATATTTTTAAACACTAATAATTTAATCCGAATAAAAATAACATACAAATTTAATCGCAAACAAAACACAAAACAACGTGGAAACATATTCAAGACAACAAATGCATTATTATACGAGTTTCGACACAAACTAAATCGAAATACCTCGTTTATGTTTTTAGAAATGTCGGAAATTTGAAATTTTGAGCCTGAAATAAGGAAACCACAACTATCGAAGGCTTGGGTTGTATGCGGGACCTACAATCTTCACTTTTTGTGTGACGGGTGGGGTCCANCTTTACTTTAACGACTCAAATTTCGTTAAACTAAAGCGCAAGTATTATACTGCGTTTTAGGTAGAAAAGTAACTTCTTTTTTAAACTGTAGAAACGTATTTTATGCCCCAAACGTCATTATTTAGGTTTCAGACTCTTAAGTTATTAACTCCTCTTTTTATCTTTATAGCTTTTTATTTTGTCTCTTAATGCGATTATGCATTCATATGATATGAAGCTAATAGCCTGTTTGACCAAGCTTTTTTTTGGTCAAAAATGTTTTTTTTTTTTTTGCTAAAAGCACTTTTTACCAAAAATTGAGGTGTTTGACCAAGCTTTTGGAAAGAAAAAAAATGTTTTTAAGAAGAAACAGAAGTAGTTTTGGAGAAGCAGAAAAAAATAGTTTCTCTCCAAAAATACTTTTTTGAGAAGCACTTTTGAGAAAAATACACTTAGAAGCAGTTTTTTAAAGCTTGCCCAAATACTAATTGCTGCTCAGAAGTGTTTTTCAAGCTAATTAGCCAAACACAAACTGCTTCTCACCAAAAGTACTTTTGAGAAAAACACTTTTGAAAAAAGCACTTTTTAAAATAAACTGATTTTTACAACTTGGCCAAATGGTTACAGACATAGAGCACAGATTATCAGCTGATAACTATGTTGTCACACTGTCTTCATCTTCTGCTATTGACTTTCGTCGTTATTTATGATGCTCTATAATTAATAATTTCAACTAACACAATATTCTTAAAGATGTATTTGAAGTTTTAAAAGGTGACTACAAACGTTTGTGAAGCCTTGATCTGAAACTTATTTTCTAAAGGTGCTATTAAAATTAATTCATAGCTCATTGTAATAGCTGCATTCATAATTAAATATTTATGTATATTAATGATTTTTTTAATACAAATATAAGATTAATCAAAAGTTAATTCGTACACACCCATAAATAATACACTAGCTTTGCCCATAATATATCAAGTAATTGATATTTCTAGAAAAGACAAAGGGAAATCTCTTTTTCGTTCCTTCAAAGGGAAAATCAGGGATGGGATCCTACTAGTTAATAACATGATTGTGAGCCATACGCGACAAATAAGAAGGATAGAGACAGGGTAATGAGAAAAGGGAATGAAGAAATAAGTTGGAAATGGTCCTAGCACCCCCTACTTGTTATAATAAATCCTCATCTATAAGATATTCAAAGAATATTTTTGTACCAAATCCTCATCTATCATTACAAAAAGGTAATGAATTCATAGATATTTCGTATTCGCTAACTTAAAATTTTGAATTCACCCATATATTACTCATGTTCGTTAATTAATTCAATATTAAAGAATGCTTCGTTTAAAGCTTCTCAATTCAACTAATTAATTTTCAACCTAAGGAAAGTTGTTCTAATTAATTAACCATTCATCAATCTCGCCACCAAATTCAATTGCTACGCACAGGTGATCCATAAATGCAAAAGCACGGAAAGACTTGTTAAAATAATGCCAAAGTTAGGAGGAAAGAATTAAAAACCAATAAATTGAACTACACTCTGCCAAACCAAATCACCACCTTTCAACAACCTCTTTTACCTATCATTCAATTATGGAGACATTCTTTAAACCTTGAAATCCCATCCTTAAAACACCTTATCACGGAAATAATGATAACATATATACATATTCTTAACAAAAAATTTCTTTTAATTTCTAACATGGGCATACGCCCAAGTCCCATATTTTCCTACGGACCCTCCGGGACCGTCATATCATGGGTCCAGGTCCGTCTATCCAAAATATTGACCGAAGTCAACTTAAATTAAATTTTAANCTTAACAAAAAATTTCTTTTAATTTCTAACATGGTCTCAAACAATTCAAGCATACACACATGCACCCACTGCAAATATGTTAAAGACAACCACTGCTGATATGTTGGATCTGCTTTTTTCTGCAGTTACACTTCTTACGAAGGGGCGAAGCTAGATGTTAAAGGAAAGATGGTCAATTGATCAACCTTCGTAGAAACATTACACTGGGTATATAGGTAAAATATTAAGTTTTGAGGTATATAACATATATTGAACATTCTTTGCCGGAGAATTTTTTTTAATTCTTATAAGTTTGAACACACTTAAAGAAATTCCTGACTTCGCCGATAAAGGCGATAATTGAATAGCAATGGGATTGAAGATTGAGGGAGTGTTTAAATTTGTGAATCAATGTAAAATAAAATCCAAATCTTGCGTCGAAACTTGTATTTGCTCAAAGTTCCACTATCCAGTCCTTGTAGAACGAATTTTCTTGAAGCTAGACGCATCCAATTTGCTAGTCTAGCTTTGTTATACGGTCAGAATCATCTTTTCCCTTTGTGCAAGACAATAATACACTCTTTGCTGGTCTATTGCCGCACCAAAATGGTAAACATATCTGGTGACTTTCTTTAACTGTCACTTCTTTGATCCAAATTAAACGTGTTGAACTGAAACAAAGAAAATTTTTGTGGAAGTACAACGAAAGGACATGACCTGTATTGTCTGTCACAGATCCAAATACCTAATTTTAAGGCTCATTCATGGGATTCACCCAAAAAAAAATATTTACAGCACAAGAAAGATCCTTGCACTAGCAAGTACGACGTAAAACAACAGACATTTCAAGAACTATAGCAAAGCGAATTGAACTGGAGCAAAAAGGAGGAGGGTCATCTTTTTTTTTTTTTTACTCTGATAAGAGGGGATGGAGAAGGAGGTTCAAACTAAACCAAGAAAATAAAAAGCTGACAGACAAGTTAGAGAAAAGATCATTGCAATATTCTTGATTTGTGCTTGTCATCCTTGTGCAGGGTCATCCTTCAGACATTCGATAAAATTGGAACGATACAAAGAAGATCATCGGAGTTTTCTACCAAAGAGTTCTTGATCTCTTGAAAGAGGTGGAAGGTGGGCTAATCTGTGGAACAGCAAAAGAATTGTCATCTCTCCACTTTCTACTGGACTTGATGCTATTGACTTCTCTTGAGTCCTTGATCCCAATTTGCCCACCAAAGTTCAAATTTGAAGGAGATAAAAATTGGATCTGAATCTGCTGCTTTGACTGCAGAGGAGAAGGGGCTTGAGGAACCCAAACACCAATATTTTGTGGGGGAAAAGAACTCATATGACTCTCAAGATCAGTATCCCAAAATGACAACATATCCTCATCACCAATCTACCAATGACCCCCAAAAAAAAAGAAGATCAGAACAATTGCATTATATTTTACACTTACATGACCTTAAAGAAAAAAGAGTTCAACATAAACGGCGGCCCGCCGATAGTGTAAAGATTTTTTTTACAATCAGGTCAACCAAAAGATATGTACAAGTGAGATCGTTAACCTTGAAACAAAGGCAGGTTACCTATGACGATAAGTAAAGATGACTTGATAGTGTAAAATTTTTTACTGTCAGCGTATATAACTTAGGTGCCAGAAAATGCAGAAAAGACTACAGGAGCATATAAACAAACCTTAGAAGACCCATTAGGAGTAGAACAATCAAGAAAATCTTCAACATGCCAACCAGGCAACATCTCTAAGTACTCTGATATACTACTTGTTAAGTTATTTCCCCCAACATTCACCAATTGAGAATTACATCCACCAACTTTCTCTTTAACAACCGTCACTGCTTCCACAGCTGCAGGCTTATTTGTGGGGTTTTGAGACTTGAAACTTGAAGCAGAGGAATTGGCAGAGGAAGCTGCTGATGGTGATGGTATAGAAGAATAGAGAGCAGAATTTGCTGAGAGCTTAATACCAGTAAGAAGGTATCTGTTATGCTTTTGAGTGTGCTCATTTACTTTGTGTATTGAAAGATCACACTCTCTACATAGAATTGCCCTATCTTGTTGACAAAATAAGATAGCCCTCCTTTCCTGTGAATACACGACCAAAACCCCATTATCAAGAAGGTAAAATCAAACAAGAATCATTCAACACGTTAAAGAGATTAGTAACTAATTAACCACACCCCCCCACCCCAAAAAAAAACTCTCCCAATATGATGATTGTTTTATTTAGAAGAATATTCTTTTTCTCATGTACCAAGTTTGTCACGTCCCAAAACTAGAGGGATACCAAGTGTTTTAGGCCCGTTGTGCAAATCCTTAACCAATGGCGAAGCGAAGAATTTCAATAAGAATGTTCAAAATTTGAATACCCTTTATTCAATAAGGGTGTTCAAAATTTTTGAACACCCTTTGTCATTGGGCTATGTAAGGGTGCTCAAAAGGTATTCAATTGAGCACCCTCAGCCATACATAGGTTCGCCCTTGCCGTTAACCCTAGTAAATTTACCAACTAATAGAACTCCGTCAATAAACCTTTTGGGAAACGAAAAAGCGAAGAGGAATTTTGAGATTAAACTATGAAATTCACTAATATATAGATGATTTCTTCCTATCCGTCTGAATCTTGATTAATGGTATATATCGAATCTTGAAGCTTACTAGGACACTACAGTTATAGAAAAGAATAAACAAGAAATTTGAGATGAAGCTCTAAAATTAAGCAAACCTGACAAATATCACACAAAGGGAATTGTTTAGTAGAAGGTTGAAGAAGAGAGAAACGCTGATGCTTGCTAGCAAGTTTGTTGACATGGTGGACACGATGGTCACAAGCTTCACAAAGGGCAGCTTCATCTGCTGTACAAAATACAGAGGCTTCATTCTTGTTACAGACATCACACTGTATCTTCATTTGATTACAATTATAGCCACTTTCTTGTGGATCAAGATTGTATAACTATGAAGTTGAAGAGGAAAAGGAAGTTGCTAGAACAAGGGAGAAAGCGAGAAAGTTCAAGAAATGAAGGAGTGTTTAAGAAAGGAAAGTTGAGAAGAGAGAGAGAAGATGGAGGATTATTTTATTATACTTCTAGTACTATAATTAAAAATAATGAATCTAAACAATTAAACGTTGAAATTACGAATTCAACAGGACCAAGCCAAAATCTATATTTCTGTTAAAAAATTCACTTAATTTCTAGCAATAATTTATTCAGAACTCTAAAAGTTGTTTTTTCTATAGTAAACTGATAAATTCAAAATATTAAATCCGCCTGTGCGAGAAAATACTTTTTTGCAATAGGTACAATTAGGAAAAAAATTAGGTGTCTCGGAATTTCAAAGGTGGATTTTTTTTTTTGAAGTCAAAGTAGAAGGAAGCTTGCTCCCTTTTCTTCGTAAAATGCAATGCATTTCTATTTTTATCTGGGAACGAACTTCCAGATAGCATGGGGAATATACCAATTGATATTTATAGAAAGCTAATAATATATTGAACCAAAGAGGAAGGTACATCAAAATAGTGACGAAGATAGAAATTCACCAGGCATTGATATTTGAAAGAAGTGAAAAAAAATTTTGATAAAAAATGTTTAATATGTGTTATATACCTCTAAAACGTAATATTATATATATAATATAATTTTTCGACGAAAAGTGATCAACTGACCACCATGTGGCTTCCCACTGCATCAAAACATACACTCTACTAAATTGACGTTTCCCCCCTAATGTTAGCATAAGAAAAATACCCTTAGTAATATCTAGTTTATATTCGAATCTAGATATGATGATCTTTTAATAATATAAGTAACTTCCCAACTTCATAAAATATTGTAAACAATTTAGATGGAACATGTTTACAACTAAGTTCATTTTTTTTTGGTTTTCACCTGATGTTCGGTATTTGTATTGGAGTCCGACTATATTCAAATTCGCTCCGTGTAGGGCTCCATTCGGGGGAAGCGCTCCCTACCAAGGATTTTTCCATACCAAGGCTCAAATTTGAGACCTGTGATTAAGGAAAAAACAGTCTCATCCACTGCATCACATCATTTGGATTAAATTCATTTATTTAAATCTGATATAACGGAGTTAAATAAATAAATTTACCACCAAAGATCCTAGTCACCCTTATTGGACAGATAAACAGCTGCAAATGAACTTCAAAACAAAATATCTCGTAAAAGTAGGACATAGAAACGAGGAAATATAAGGAAAAGTACTTCCACTATTATTTTTATATTCTTATTTAATACATCTGTGTAACATGGGTGGATAGCATGGGATGCTTTTAAAAGCAAGCACACTATGTAGCAAATACATGTATTTAATGGCCCAAGGAGCCAATAGAAGAGTGCCAGCGAGGATTCTGGAGTTGTGTGTGTCAGCGCATGGGCGACCAATAACTCTTCTTTTTCTTTCTTTTTATTTTGTTCATATTGGCGACCCATAATTTAGACATTATGAAGTTCTAAATTAAAAAAGTAAATTCTAAAATGTGTATATAAATTTTTTTTGACAGCACGCCCATTCTCTGTAGTAACTTGTAGGCATATAAGACCAACAAGGGTTGTGGTAGAGTGGTCAACACTCCTTTAATTCTTAACCAGAGATTTCGGGTTCGAGTCTCTTGGTATGGAGTCGCATTTGTTATGGAGCGCTTTACCTCCCAATATAGGACTTTCCGGAAAATTCGGATTTAATTGGGCCTCAATGTGAGTATCGGACACCAGGCGAAAAATTAAAAAAATTAAATAAGAACTGTAGGCATATTAGGGTAACAAATTTCGTATTAAGTACTTATTAGGTTTTTAAAAGAGCTCACTTGCGAGCCAGACTCCTCTCCCTATTTTACTGTCCAAACAAGTAACTTGTAACGCCTATGACGAATGTCGGATTGATGAGAACTAATAAGTTTCTAAACTGACAAACTTCTGAAAACGAGGTGATTAGTCCCACATCAGAGTGTGAGAGAAAAGTAAAGGACTTTATAAGGCATAACACAAGTTCATATGGTACGCACGTTTTTTCGTTCAATACTAGCGTAGCCCAATAAACGAATTTGTGAGGCCAGTTGGGAGAAAGCGGACAATACATGTCATGCGCTTGGGTTGTGATAAAGATGGTATCGAAGTCGGATACTTCCTTAGCACGGTGACACGACAAACCTCAACAAGGATGCAAAATCCCTAAGGGGGTATATGTGATGCGTCATGGGCGCGGGCATCTTGAGTCGACACGGGGGGATTATTGAAGGACGGGTAGGCTTCTAGACTAACAAACTTCTGAAAAAAGGGGTGCACATGGAATATTATGCAAATCTTGCATCGGAATAGAGAGGAAATTAAAAGGCTTTATAGCGCATAACAAATTCACATGGTACGCACGCTTTCAGAATCGATAGAAGTGTAGCCCAAGGGACATATTTGTGAAGTCTGTTGGGTCAAAGCGAATAATACACACCATGAACTTGGGCTTGAGAGATAGGATATTAGAGGCGGAAGCTCCCTCAGTACGATGGTAATTGAAGAGAAAAGTGAACGACTTTATAGGGCATAACACAAGTCAATTCACATGATACTTGTGTTTTTGGAATCAATGATGACATAGCCTAAAAGAGAAATCTTAAGGTCCATTTGAGCCAAAATAGACAATATGTATCATGAGCTTGGATTGTAACATCATTTGTTCTAAGTTCAATGGTTGAGTCGAGCATGATCAAATTCGAGATAATAGCTTCGAGTTCGGGTATCCTATTGTGATTGGGTCTAACTCTATTTATTGTTTTTCGATAATTCATAACATGAACCGTCCTGAAGCGTTGCGTTCTATCGTCTCCACGAACCGGTGGTTGAATATAGTGGGTGAAGTCATATCAATAATCTATTGTTTCTCATTTGAGTTATATATAAAATTGATTAAAAGAAAGAATTTATACTAAGTTTGAAGCAGTAGTAGGTACAATGATCTTTCATATCTATTAACTTTAAAACCTAAATCTACCACAGTAACGAATCTCAAGTAAAACATGTACGGCAACTATGCAATTTATTTCCTATATAGAAGCATCAGCATGTGGATCCTAGCTCATTGCTTCCTCGTTCTGTTACTTCTTCCAACAACACAATGGTACGACTTGTTTTAAAATAAAAAACTAAGAGATGATTATGTCATGCATGACATTATCAACGACGAATATTTTAAGTAGAGACATTGTTTTATAACATCTTTCAATTATTTATTACTCCACTATACTAATTAAGCAGAGTAGTATTTTTCTATTTTGCATGGCCTGTTATACCACATTTAGAGCTCGTTTGATAGAGTGCATTAGAAAAAATAATGCATATATTATCTTTGTGTATTAGTAATACCTTGTTTGATACACTTTTTAATTTTACGTATGACTAATACAAATATTAGTTACATACGTCTTATGTATAGCTAATATATAGTAAATTATGGTATTAGCAATACCAAAACTATTAATACATGTATAAACTTAGTTAAAGATAAAATCGCTCCTTCATGCTTGATTAAAATTCTTTTTACCTGTTTTTATTAATATCATAAGAATCCAGTTGACAAATTTGCCTTGCCTAAAAAAATTTCATCTCGATTTCTAATATTAATTTCTTTCAATTAGTCATCCCTTCTATTAAAATGTTATAATTAACAATGAAGATGCTAAAAAATCGCAATTCCTTTTTTGTAAATTAAAGTACTTTTCTCTACGGTCGTGAGATTTTTCCTCTCCCTCTCATGTGAGGCCAATTGCTCCATGGAACACTGTTTTGGATCAGCAATTGTACAAACTGTATAGACCAAACTAATGTAATTATTTTTAAAAAATTTAGAGGGTATTTTTGTAAACAAATAAGTTTCAAAGAAACTATGCAATATATGTAATTTTTAATACACCAACCAAATAATCGATAAGAAACAATCTCAGCATAACTAATACATGCATAACTAATATCAACATAACTTAAACAACATTACAAATACACTTTTGTCACGACCCTAAAACTAACCCGATCGTGATGGCGCCTAACGTGAAACTAGGTCAGCCGACATAAACTCCAAAACCAACCATAAGTTCATAAGTCATTTAAAATCATTAATCAGCTAAAATCCCATAATATAAGTTTAAATAGTGCGGAATATACATACACACACACACACACACACACACACACACACACACACACACATATATATATATATAACACAGCCCGACATCGGGATGTCACCAGTCATGAGCAACTACAACCCGTCTATGAATAAGGAAAGACAACATAGTTCGAAAACAATGCTAATACAAAGCTGAATAAGATAGGAAGGAGAAGCACTGGGCTGCGAACGCCAAACAACTACCTAGTTAACTCCGAAGGCCTGCTGGAAGACAAATCAGCACTCGTTATCGCGACCCGAGACTCTTAGATCTGCACACAATGTGCAGGGAGTAATGTGAGTATGTCAACTCAGTAAGTAATAAAAGTAAATGAAAGCCGAGCAGTAAGAAAACACGTAAAATATGTCATAACACTACAACAAAATAGTATATGTCCAGAATAATGCAGTAAAGCAATAAAACTCGTAAAAACAACTCTATTCAGTAAAACCTTTTTAAAACCCCTTTCAATAGTTTCAAATGAGTGATAAAAACAGTGAGTAGAAGGATAAAAATGTAAACAACCCCTATGGTAAAATACCAACAGAACCAGCCCATCAGGCTACATCACAATCACTCGTAATCAGCCCCTCGGGTAATAAAATAAAACAACAACAGCTCCTCGAGCAATATCACATTTCACATTGGGTACCCGCGCTTACTGGGGGTGTGCAGACTCCTTGAGGGGATCCTACAGCCCAAGCGCTATCACAATCCATCTCGTGGCATAACAAATCAGGCCCTCGGTCTCTCATATATTACAATTCAGTACACATGCTATGGCGCGCAGCCCGATCCCATAATAATCCTCACAACACAGGCTCTCGGCCTCACTCAGTCAGAATTCTCTCAAGCCACTCAGGCAATAGTAAAACATGATGCTCAACCCAAAT